GCTGCAGTCATGGCAGACTGTCCTCACACCATCGGGGTGGAGTTCGGGACGAGGATCATGGAGGTCCACGGGCAGAAGGTGAAGCTGCAGATATGGGACACGGCAGGTCAGGAGCGGTTCAGGGCCGTCACCAGGTCCTACTACAGGGGGGCCGCCGGGGCCCTCATGGTCTACGACATCACCAGGTACCTAGGCAGGCGAGGGTGGATGGAGGAGGAGAACTCTGTGTCCTGTTTACTTAAAGGGACAGTTCACCATAAATGTAAAACTCTGGTTGCTCCGTCCTGTCGAGCTGCTAATTCAGCACTTTGTTGTTTGAGATCACAAACTGATAAAAAGACAAAAACCAACAAAACAAATCAGATAAGCAGTGAAGATCATTTCATACAAAACAAAACATACACGAAATGAATGTAAGTTTCTGTCCTAGTAGAAAAAGTCGAACCATTAGATGAATAATAAATGATGAATGTGTATGTAAAGTCATGTTAGATTAAATACATCAGTTAAAACAAAATAAACTGATAAAAATGGAAGTGATCCACAGACGCTCCGGTGAGCGGCTTCACGTTGGAACTATTTTCTTTCTACAGTCTACATCCGCCAGTTATATCACTGTGCAGGAGGAAGTGTGCACTGAGGCATGAGGAACTGAGCATTATCTCTGTGCTCAGCTTTTTTTGTTTTGGTGGATCTGAAACATCCTTGAAAGAGTAGTTGTCAAACAGCTAACAGATCATCTGCAGAGGTTTATTTGAAGAGTTTCAGCCAGATGTCAGAGCTCAGCACAGAAACAGCTTTAGTGAAGGTTACAAATGATCTTCTTATGGCCTCTGACAGTGGACTCATCTCTGTGCTTGTCCTGCTAGACCTCAGTGCAGCGTTCGATACTGTCGACCATAATATCCTATTAGAGCGATTAGAACATGCTGTAGGTATTACAGGTACTGTGCTGCAGTGGTTTGTATCATATCTATCTAATAGACTCCAGTTTGTGCATGTAAATGGAGAGTCCTCTTCACACACTGAGGTTAATTATGGAGTTCCACAGGGTTCAGTGCTAGGACCAATTCTGTTTACATTATACATGCTTCCCTTAGGCAGCATCATTAGAAGACATAGCATACATTTTACACTGCTATGCTGATGACACCCAGCTCTATCTGTCCATGAAGCCAGATAACACACACCAAAGTTAAACTGCAGGAATAGCGCTTGCGTTTTCACTTTCTTTCTTAATTCAGATCAAACTGAGTTATTGTACTCAGTGAGACAGACACTTCGTCTATTTTAGAGTAAGGGCTTCAAGTTTCGC